CTTGTGATGTATAGATTTTACAAGAAATAACAAATACGGATTAATAGAACAAAAAAAAATAAAAAAAATTTGCATAATCTTTTGGTAAAACCTCACTTAATGTGAAACACTTCCAAACATCTCTTATATAGATCTGATTAGAAAGGAAAAACTTGTACAAGAGTAGAGTAGTATAGTCAATGAATTTTTCACCTAGGAGCAGTCAATCACTAGATCTCTTTTTCAACTAGGAGCAGTCAAGGAAAAACTTGTACAAGAGTATGTTTAAAAAAAATTGATTTTATAGAAAATTGATGTAGGAGATACAACACTAATCAAAGAAAGATATACAACTTGATAAACTCGATAAGCAAAGCAGAGTAAACCATAAACATTCATTACATATACGGTTTGTTCCATTACAATTTGAATACATGATGAGTAAAAGTGTAGCACGGGATATAGTTTTAGGGTTATCGAAATGTGTAAATGGTGACCAATAAAAAGAAAAATGAAAAAAAATTTGAATTCCTCTCAATTCTTTAAACATTACATTATTTATAAAGAATTTTTGGTATCTATGATTCTTCTTCATTCTTTTTCATGCATAAAATTATAGAACAAAAATATTCTCAATCAAATTTGAAAATGAATAAGAGGAACCATTCCTTTTTTTTTTACAATTCTTTCTTATTCGTCAAATTTTATTCTTTTTCATTCATTCCATTTTTTTTCCTCATCATTTCTCTTGTTTTTCTAGTGATCACCATTTAGAGCATATATGTTCATATTTCATTGTTTCCATATTCCAACATTTGTAAAAAATATATAAGAAATTATCAATGATAAAATCTGTGTTTGACAAAATTATAAATCATCCCTTTATGCAAGCCCAAAAGATTAGTCTGATGGAACTTGGAAGTAAGAAAAACACATTTTAATTGACCGGCCAACGATATATTGTATCAAAAACTTCTCATAAATTCAACGCATAACAAATAAAAAAAGCTCCAAAACAATCTAGCCACCGAAATTCTGAACTAATATTCCATATAGATGCCTAAGAAAAAAAAAACATAAAACCTAAAACACCATAACGTATCAAGAAATCCTGTAACTATTCTAGAATGGGTACCGAATAGGTTAAATCCATTACGCCTTCAATCTACGTGGTGGTGGTGTGAAATCATGAGGAACAGGTGCTGGATTTCCTTTTGGAATGTTTGGAGCCGGATTCCAATGACCATAATCGCCGTGGAAAACTTCATCAAAAGTTGATGAGTCTCTTTCTGCTGAATATTGCTTCACCGGAGAATCAACCGGAAAACATTCTCCGGCCATGGCAACAGCGACAACCATAATGAACACAATAAGGAGAAACCTCACGTGGTTGATATGAAGCGACATGATTTGTGACTGATTCTAACTAGCTAGGGCTCTTGAGCTTCTCAAAAATATTTATAGGTTTTTTTGTGTGTCTTTATAATAGGTTTAGAATATATTCATTTTCATCATGTATGGTAATAGTGCGAGGAAAAATCAAAATAG